ATGCCTCCAAGATGTTTTATTCCTTCCAGCTCCATCTACCGCAGATGGAGCCCAGGAAAAGCCATGGGAGGTTGGGCTCTTGTTGAAAATTCTTTTTTATTGGACGTTTTCTGCTCTCTAACAATCACGTCATAAATTCAGCAGGACTTTTATGGGAACTCCCAGGGCGTTTTTATTTCAAATATCATAATACAAGGGGGGAGAAAATCCTACAGAGCTGGAAGCAGCTCCTGGTTTTCTTGTTTTTACAGGGATTTTAACAGGAAGAGCCATTCTGAACCAATGGCAAAAACTCTTCAGGAACAGCCTCATTGGGCCAAGGAAAGGAGTTGGGGTTCTGTAGTAAAGTTGGAATTTTCTGCTGGAAAAGAGTATCCAGGGCACTCATTCTGCCCCTCTGCCCCTCAGGTGAGGCCCCACCTGCAGAGCTGCCCCAGATCCAGCAGCACAAGGACCTGGAGCTGCTGCAGGGCTGGAGCCAGACTGGGAGAGCTGGGAATGCTCACCTGGAGAGGAGAAGCTCCAGGGAGAGCTCAGAGCCCTTCCAGGGCCTGAAGGGGCTCCAGGAGAGCTGGAGAGGGACTGGGGACAAGGCATGGGGGGACAGGACACAGGGAATGGCTCCCACTGCCACAGGGCAGGGATGGACGGGAGATTGGGAAGGAATTCCTGGCTGGGATGGAATTCCCAGAGCAGCTGGGGCTGCCCCTGGATCCCTGGCAGTGTCCAAGGCCAGGCTGAATCACCCTGGAACAGTGGAAGGTGTCCCTGCCATGGCAGGGTGGCACTGGATGGGCTTTAAGATCCCTTCCCACCCAAAGCATTCCATGATTCCATGACCTTGCAGTGGTCACAGGGACACGAGTTCCACACTCACCTTCCGTTAGTGATGGAGCAGAGGAGAGGACAAAAGGATCCTGCTCCAACTGTCCCAGCTCCAAGTGACGACTTCCTCTGAACTTCCATGGAGTGCCCAGAGGCAGAAAAGCAGCTGGAAGTGGGACATGGGCAGCAGGAGCAGCTCTCCTTCCAGGAATTCCCTTTGGATGTGAGAGCCTCTGATCCCAGCAGGAATGTGCTCCTCCCCACCCAGGGCTCATTGCTGCTCCCAGGAATTCGGAGCAGGTGCTGGAGCAAATCCCGTGGGCTGCGTCCAGCAGAGGCTGCACCTCCATGCTCCAACACCCAAATTTTCCTTTCTTCCCACCACAGCCACAGGAAAACTTCCCAAGGCAATTCCTGCAACATTGGCTGGAAGAGTTGAACAACAAACAAACGGAGCAGGAGGATAAAAGGATGGCAAAGTCCCGGGAAAATTTTCCTGAGTGGAAGTTTGTTGGAGTTATTGGCCAGGCCCTGGGGTGGGGGCAGCTCTGCAGGGGGGGTCTCATCCCTTTGGAAGGTACCAAAGGATTCCAAGAGCTGCCCTTCCCCACCCCCTCAGAGGCCATTTCCGATGCGTGGACTCCCAATTCCCACATCCGAGTACCCTGTGAGATGATTCCCCATCCATCCACCCAAACACCATCCATCAACCATCCCAGAGCATCTCAGAGAGCCTTTGGAACCTGCATTTTCCAAGCTTGCCAAATGTTTAAGGAAAAAATTATTCCAAACAGCTCTGCTCAGACATTCCAAAGGAAAAAAATCTCAGGAACCTGCTTTGGAAGCCTGGGACCTGCAGAGTCGGGCCAGCAGAGGGATTGGTGTCCAGAAGCAGCAATGATCCCAAATCCCCCAGAGCTGGAAGAGGCAGCACAAACCCTCAGCTTGGGCAGAGTCCGGCCGGGAACGCCACAAAAGGAATTTCAGCAGCTGTCAAAAACTGGGAATTCCTTTCATGTCCCTGCAGCAGATGGACACTTGAAAGCCAGACCTTGGCCGTGGGTGTGACCACTCCAAAACCACGGCCTGGAGGGCCGAGGCTCGGGATGAAGCCTCCTCTCCATCATCCCAGCAGGTTGGAGAATCCCAACCAGCCCGGCACTCCAGGGCCGCTCCTGCTTCGTGTCACGGCTTCATGTCAGAGGCTCCTCCAAATTCCAGCCCACCCTGGTGCCTTTTATCCCGGCCAAGAGCATCCCAGGGCCTGGTTTTTATAGGACAGAGGGATGTCAGAACTTCCAAGGCCGGAGCGTGGTGAGCACAGGAGGGAATCCAATGGAAAGAGGCAGGAGGTGGCATTTCCAAGGAGGGGAGAAAGAAACGTCCTGATTTTTAAAAGGCCAGAATGTTGGCGGGGGATAATCCAGAGGGAATGGCCAGGAGGATCCTGAGGGATGGATTTGATCCCGGGGTCAGTTTGGGGCCGTGTTGGTGTTCTCCACATTTCCCTGACAAAAGGCAGCAACATCAGGCTCCAAACCAGCCAAAAGAAAACAGGTTTTCCTATGGATGAAGGAATCCCTAATTTTCCATACAGGGATCCCTGTTCCTCACCAGAACCCCAGCACCACACCAGGATCCCTGTCCCATTCCAGGATCATTGTCCCATGCCAGGACCACAGTCCCATTCCAGGATCCCTGTCCCATGCTGGGATCCCTGTCCCACTCTGTGATCCCATATTGGGATCCCTGTCCCATGCCAGGATCCCTCTCCCATACAGGGACCCCATTCCCATGCCAGGATCCTTGTCAGGATTGCTATCCCACACTGGAATCCCTGTCCCATGCTGGGATGCCTGTTCCACACTGAAATCCCAGTCCCACTCCATGATCCCAGTCCCACTCCATGATCCCTGCCCTGTGCTTGGCACCCCAGTCCCTTTCCAAGATCTGTGTCCCATGCCACGATCCCACTCCCATCCTTGGATCCCTGCCCCAAGCAGGGATCCCAATCCTATACCAGGACACCAGTCCCACACCAGGAGCCCAATCCCACGCCGGGATCCCACAATTATCCAGGGCTCTGGATATCAGGGGTTGATCCTGATTTAATTTCAGCCTGGAATAAAAGTGGAAGACACAGGGGAAAGGGAAAGTTCAGGACATTTCATTTGAGGTTTGTCCTAAATGAAAACATTGGGATTTTTCATTTCCAAGTCAGATTTTCTGGAAGATCTGAAAGTGAAAATTCTCCCTTCAGGAACTGGGAAAAGCTGTGCCTGGAACTGGAGCCAGTTTAAAGGGAATTTTTTCCCTTGAAAGTTAACAAGGGAAAATTCTTCCGCTTCCCACCTTTGGTCTGGCTTCAGCCAGGGAAAGGATGGATGGATGGATGGATGGATGGATGGATGGATGGATGGATGGATGGATGGATGGATGGATGGATGGATGGATGGATGGGAATTCCAGCTGGCAAAGCCTGGCTTCATCCGGGTTCCAGCTGTTGGGAACAGCTGGACACGGCAGAGTTTTGTGCATGGAGATCTGCTGACATCTACAGGGCATTCCAGAGATTCCATGGCTCCATGGAATCAGGGAATTCCAGAACAATTTGGGTTGCAAGCAAACTTAAGGATCATTCCAGCCATCCCACTTCCATGAGCAGGGACACCTCCCACTGTCCCAGGTTGCTCCAAGCCCTGTCCAGCCTGGTCTTGGACACTTCCAGGGATCCAGGGGCAACCACGACCTTCCCACTGCTTTTCCAGAAATATTTTGCCCCAGAACAAGAGTGAGGGGCACTTGGATGTCTCCCATCCAAGGAAAAACAGGCAAAGCCACCAAAATCACCCTGTAGGGAAATGGCTGGACACCAGCCCAGGTGTTCTCCCACCAGAGAATCCAGAGGCAATCCAGAGGGAATCCACAGGCACATCCCAACACCAAGTCTGGCCCCGGTGGGTGCATGGAATGTCCCCGTTGTCCCCACACCTGGGAATTGCCCCTCCAAGGGGAGAGGACAGAGCAGGAGTGGCTGCAAACACCGGGAACAGGAGAGCCAAGGAGAAGGAAGGAAACTGGGAATGGAGGAAGAATCAGGGAATTTTCCAGCTGCTCTTTGCTCCCAGGCATCCCTGGGAAGCAGAAATGGGGCTCTTCAGGTGGAAAATCCTCATGGAAGCAGCAGATACTGGTACAGGGACAAGGATCCATCATCCTGGGAATGATCCACCAGGATGTGGGAATTACCAAGAACAGCTCTTCTTATCCCAGCTGGAATGTCGTGTCAGCACCAGATGTTTCCCCTTAGGATAAAATCTCTTTGGAATCAAATCCAGAGGATTCCGGCACCATCCTGCAGGATCTCCCAGAGCCACAATAAAGTTTTCCAGGGAAAACACAGGATCAGCTTGGCAGATCCCAACCTACTCCCCTTTTCCAGAGGCACAGGGTTGGGATCACCCCAGGAACCTGGGTAACACAATAACCTGGATCAGCCCATCCCAGGAATTGTGCTTGACCTGCTGTGGCCACCTCCAACTTCCATGGACTCAATCCCACTGCTCCTCCTCCAATTTCCATGGACCCAATCCCACTACTCTTTAAATTTCCATGGACTCAACCCCACTCCAACTTCCATGGGCTTAATCCCACTGCTCCTCCTCCAACTTCCACAGACTCAATCCCACTGCTCCTCCAACTTCCATGGACCCAATCCCACTGCTCCTCCAACTTCCATGGACTCAATCCCACTGCTCCTCCTCAAATTTCCATAGGTTCAATCCCACTGCTCCTCCTCCAATTTCCATGGACCCAATTCTACTACTCTTTAAATTTCCATGGACTCAATCCCACTCCAACTTCCATGGGCTTAATCCCACTGCTCCTCCTCCAACTTCCACAGGCTCAATCCCACTGCTCCTCCAACTTCCATGGACTCAATCCCACTACTCCTCCAAGTTCCATGGACTCAATCCCACTGCTCCTCCAAGTTCCATGGGCTTAATCCCGCTGTTTCTCCTCAAATTTCCATGGATTCAATCCCACTGCTCCTCCAACTTCCATGGACCCAATCCCACTACTCTTCAAATTTCCATGGACTCAATCCCACTCCAACTTCCATGGGCTCAATCCCACTGCTCCTCTTCCCACTCCTCTGCAGGACACGTGACAAATTTTTCCACGTGGAATTGTTTTATTAGGAAAAGATCCATTAACAATATAAAAACCCCAAGAGGAGGAGCAGGACACGCTCCTGGAGGGTCGGGAAATTCGGGAGCAAAGCAAATCCCACATTAAAACTCAGCTGGATGCAGAGCAGCCAACAATTCCTGAGCCACACTGCCCCTTCCCACAGGGATTCTGGGGCTGGCCATGGATATTCCCAAATATTCAGAGCCTCAAGGAATGTCTGCACAGGAACAGGAGCACCAATCCCTGGGAAATGATCCTGCTTTTCCAAGGGCTGCTGGCATCTCCCTCCTTTCCCAGCGAGTTCGGATTCACCTTTCCAGCCCCAGCCTGGAGTTTTCCCACTTCTCCTTGCTCCAAGGAAGTTCCAGCTAACTGGGGGGGGTCTGTCCTACTCCCATCAACCCCCCCCAATCCCAGAAAGTTTTCCATGGAAGTTCCTCAGCAGCCAGCCAGGCTCCTTGGATCTGCCTCTCCTCCAGGCACAGCAGGACTGGGAAGTTTGGGAAAAGGGATGAGCAGTCCCCAGCAGGGAGGGACCCGAGGGACACGGGGTTGGTGCGTGGCAGATCCGGAGCCCATTCCTGATGAATTCTCCTCAGTCGGAGTCGCTTCCCTCCTGCTTTGCTGATCCCACGGCCGACGCCAGCTCCCCCTCCTGCCCTTTCAAGCGCTCTCCTGCCGGGAGAAAAGCCATGGAGAAGGGATGGATGGGTTGGATTGGGAGTGACCCAGCGCAGGACCCCCAAACCCTTCCCTTGGCACAATCCAAGTGCTCCTGGAGCCTCCTTGGGAAGCTCCTTGGGACCAACAGCTTCCCAGATCCATTTGGGAAAGGATCAAGCCCCAGCAATCCCTCCCCAGCCCAGCGAGCTCCCAGCATGGATCATGGAATCCCTCTGGAATGAGCCACCCCGTTCCTGCGGCTCCGGAACGCACGGATCAGCTCCGCGATGGCTCTCTGGGTCCTCTTCTCCAGCTTTTCCAGCTTCTTGGACACATCCCGCTTCAGATCCCTGGGAGGAGAGCGACGAGGTCAGGACAATTCCATGGCCAGGCAGGGTTCACCCTTCCCAGTGGAGATTCCTTCTCTTTCCCAAGTGCTCCAAAACCAACCCATCCCCCAGTTGGTTGGACAAGCATTCCAAAGAATCAACAGGAAAAGGGAATTGTGTCTTCCTCCACAGCCAGGTGGGTTTTCCAGCTCCATGGAATTATGGAATGCTCGGGGTTGAAAGGGTCCTTAAAGATCAGCTCGTTCCAACCTCCCACAGGATTTTCCCTCAGCTCAGGTTTTCCTGGATATTTCCAGCACAACCTCAAGGCGTTGGAACCCCCGCGCTGAATCCAACTCCCTTTTCCCTGGAGCAGCATTCCATAGGCACTCACCAGTCGGGTTTCCTGGGAGCCAAGTTTGCCAAATCCTAGGGAAGGAGAGGAGACATCCAGTGAAAGCCGAAGGCAACATTCCAGCCTGGATCTGGCACAGAGCAACTCCAGATTCCCAGATCCAGATTTCCAGCTCTGAATTCCCAGATCTGGATTTGCAGCTCTGGAATCCCAGATCCAGATTCCCAGCTCCGGATTCCCAAATCCAGATCCCCAGATCTAGATTTCCCAACCATATTCCCAGCTCCAGATTTCCCAGATCTGGATTCCAAAATCTGAACTTCCAGCTCCCGATTCCCAGATCTGGATTCCAAAATCCGGACTTCCAGTTCCCTATTCCCAGATCTGGATTTCCAGCTCTGGATTCCCAAGAATTCCAGCTTTACCTACCACCTCATCGATGATTGGCTCCGGCTTGGCCGCTTCCAGCTGCTCCTTCACCGTGTCCTCCACCCCAGATCTAGATTTCCCAACCATATTCCCAGCTCCAGATTTCCCAGATCTAGATTCCAAAATCCGAACTTCCAGCTCCAGATTCGCAGATCTGGATTCCAAAATCCAAACTTCCAGCTCCAGATTCCCAGATCCAGATTTTCAGCTCCAGATTTCCCAGATCTGGATTCCGAACTCCGGACTTCCAATTCCCTATTCCCAGATCTGGATTTCCAGCTCTGGATTCCCAAGAATTCCAGCTTTACCTACCACCTCATCGATGATTGGCTCCGGCTTGGCCGCTTCCAGCTGCTCCTTCACCGTGTCCTCCACTAGATGGGGAAACAGGATCAGTGTTGGAAAACCAGGAATTCCACCAGCGTTCCAGGCTCGGCTCCCAAAAGCTTCCCTAAAACCCCATTCCCACAGCTTTACTTAAAAACATGGCACCCACGCCTCAGTGCATCCCTTTGGTATCCAAACCCTTCTGGAGACTCCTGAAAATTATCTGGGAATGATGGAAATCCCACAAACAGCAACAGCAGCTGGAAGCTGGCTGGGATTGAGGCCTCTTTTCCCAACATCTGCAGGGATCAGCTGCTCCAAAGGTCTGGAATTTTGCTGTCCCAGACTCATTTCCAGGCCTGGGACATTTTGGAGGAGTCAAACTCCAGCCCAGGCCTTGGGGAAAGGTCTCAAGATATCCGAGATAACGGGAAAACTCTCATGGAAAAAGCCACCCACGGAGGGGCCGTGGCACCAGGGAGCACATCCCACTCCAGCACATGGATTTCATGGAATCAAGGACAACCTCAGTTGGAAAAGGCCTCTTGGATTGAGCCCAAACATTCCCAGCACTGCCAAGGCCAGCACTGCCCATGTCCCCAAGTGCCACATCCACAGGGATTTCAATCCCTCCAGGAATGGGGCTCCACCACTGCAGGACAAGTGGAATTTTCCCAGTATCCAGCCTGGTAATTCCCCCTCCTCCTGTCCCTATTCCCTGGGAGCAGATCCCAATTCCCCCCCGGCTCCGTCAGGGAATTGTGCAGAGCCAGAAGGTCCCCTCAGAGCCTCTTTTTTTCCAGGATAACATTCCCAGCTCCTTCAGGAATTCCCCAGCTCTGCTCCCTTCCCTGGACATGCTCCAGCCTTTCCATGTCTTTCCTTCCACATGGAAGTCTTAAGCTCCTACAAAAACACAAGGAAAGGGCAGTGCCAGAATTCCCAGCCATTCCCAGCCTTCCCTTTTTATTCAGGGCATTTTTCAAGGGATTTAATCCAGAAAACTCCACATTTCAGGATCCAGGCAACTCCTTCACTTCCCCCTCAGGTGATTTATGGAAGTTCCGGGTGAGGAAATTCCAGCTCCAACGCCCTCAACTCCGGACTAAGATTTCCTTCAAGATAAATCCAGCAAAAAACCAGCCGGAATTTCCAGAAGGCTCCTCCAGGGAGGCTCCTCTGAGGATGAATCCTTGGATTTGGGCCTGGGAGTGTTCCCACCCCTCTTGTGCAATGCTGGGTGTGAGGGTGACAGGATCAGATATTCCAGCCCCTCCATGGACACCTCATCCCAGTGGATCTCCCACCTTGGGAAGAGCACGGAGCTCCCCAAGCCCTCGTTTCCCTTCCCACATTCCCGGTTTCTCCCACCTGAGGCCGGTTTGGCCGGGGGCAGCTTCCTCTTCTTCAGCTCCTCATCCTCGGGATCGTAATTCCGCAGCTTGATCTCCCTGGGAAAAGCAGGAAGAGCAGTGAGAAAAGTTCGGGATGGGCCAGTGGGCACTCGGGAAGAGCAGGAATGTTGGAATCAGGAGGCAGAAGCAGCTGAAATAATGGAATTGTTGAGGTTGGAAAAGCCTCCAAGATCACCAAATCTAGCCAAGGCCACCATGGATCCATGCTCCCAACAGCCACATCCATGGTTTTTAAATCCCACCAGGAATGGGGACTCCCACTGCCCATTCCATGAGAAATAATTCCAGTATCCACCCTGAGCCTGCCCTGGCTGTTCCCTCCTGTCCTGTCCCTGTTCCCTGGGAAAAGAACACAATTCCCATTTGGCTCTGACATTTTGGGTCTAAGAACTGGGATACTCTGGATGGAGACCCCAGGGAAGATCCAAAAATCATGGAAATAAATCTTTCAGGGAAAGACAGGGCAGAAAAAAAGGATTATTTAGGATACAAGGTGGTTATCCAAGCATTTCTGGAAGTGCTAAAATCAGGGAGCAAATCCCATTTCTGGAATAAATGGATGGTGGAGCAGAGGGAATGAGGGACCCAAACATCACCTGGAAGTTTTTCCATGTTTTCATCTCCTCCAGGGAAGCTCAAGAGTTGGGATTGAGCCACAATCCCAGGATATTCCCATCTAATTTGGGCTTTAATTGGACACCCTCATTCCCATGAGTGATTCCTCACTGGAGCCAAACCCTGCAAGCCTCAAGAGGAGTTCCCAAAGCCACAATCCTGGAAAATCCAGTTTGCAGGAGCTCATCCCACCTCCAGGACACTCCGGAGGCCGCAGGATCCATGGAACAGCTCAGCCCACAGGGATAATGAGGGAGGTGAAGCTCATTAAGCAAAGAGGATGGGATTAATCGGGATTAAGGCTCCAAGAGAAACTGGGAAGTTTGGGAAGCAGAGGACCAGGTTTTTATGGAAAGCAACAAAAATCCAACCCTGGAAGCCACCAGAGCATGGGTGGAAAATCCAACCCTTCCCACTGCAGGAATTCCAGGAATTCCAGGACAGGAATCTCCTGGCCACGAGTCTGATCCACTCCATGGGAGTGCTGGGAGCACTGGGATGTGTTCCAGGACCTTGCTGAGGTAAATCATGGAATTCCAGCATGGAAGTGACCCTTGGGATCAGGGCCATGGGCAGGGACACCTTCCATGATCCCAGGCTGCTCCAAGCCCCATCCTTGGACAGTTCCAGGGACCCTGGGCCAGCCACAGCTGCTCTGGGAATTCCATCCCAGCCCCTCCCCACCCTCCCAGCCAGGAATTCCTTCCCAAAAAGGAATTGGGAGGATTTGGGGAGCGCAGCATTCCAGAGGGAAGCAATGGACACTGCCAGGGGTGGCACATTCCCCGGACTGGCTCAGGAATATCCCAAATCCATGTTTCCCTCAGGCCCAGAGCTCCTGGCTGGGGAAACAGGAGGGATCCCAGCTTTTTTGGGAGGAGGCCCTTGGCACCGGCACGCCGGGAATGTGCGGAATGCCCGGAGTGTTCCCGATGGAAACCAGGCCCCTCCGAGCTTGGCTTGTGCCTCACTGTTCCAGCCCCGAGGCTTTTATGGAACAAACAATTCCACAGATTTCTCCAGGCCTCCTGGCTGTCAAAATCCTTGTGGCAGGAGCACCGGGAATGGCTTTGCCAAGAAAAGCTGGAGCAGGGATTTCTTCTCATGTCACGGGTTCCTTGCTCCTGTCATTATTCCCAAAAGTCACTTGGAGCTGCTTCAGGAGCATCTTCCCCATCCTGCTCCCTGAGGATGAAGCTTTCACCTCCAGGAACAGCAGGAAAAATGTATGGAGATCATGGAATCATCCTGGAATGGGCTGGGTGGGATCTGAAGGGTGATCCCATTCCACCCTCTGCCATGGGCAGGGACACCACCACTATCCCAGGGTGATCCAAGCCCCATCCTTGGACACTGCCAGGGATCCAGGGGCAGCCACAGCTGCTCTGGGAATTCCGTCCCAGCCAGGAATTCCCAATTCCCAATCTCCCGTCCATCCCTGCCCTCTGGCAGTGGGAGCCATTCCCTGTGTCCTGTCCCTCCATCCTTGTCCCCAGTCCCTCTCCAGCTCTCCTGGAGCCCCTCCAGGCCCTGCCAGGGGCTCTGAGCTCTCCCTGGAGCTGCCTCTTTTCCAGGCTGAACATTCCCAGTTTTCCCAGAGCAGAGGGGCTCCAACCCTGGAAGCGGCTCCATGGGATCCTCTGGATTGACTCCAGCAGGTGCTGCCGACGTTCCCGGATTCCTCACCCAAGGCACCAAAAGAGGAACAGGCAGAGATCCAGGAGAACCCTCCCTGAGGAAAAGCTCTTCCCTGGAAAAGCTCCCGAGCGTGTCCAAGCCCATCCTCCTCCCAGAGTGGCTCCAGAAGGAAGGAATCCCAAAAAATCCCACCTCTCTCCACACCAAACTTCCAGGCCGGTTGGTTTTCCAGGACATGCTCCTGGTTGGAGCAAGGATTGGGAGACATCCAGGTGTTCCAGGAGAAGTGGAGAAGATCCCAAATCCATCAGGATTCCCATCACTTCCCACAGGGCTTTGCCAAGCACCTGAGCTTTTCCAGGTGGACACTGGGAATTGCAATATCCATGAATCAAACTGGACAAAGCCCGCATTCCGTGTGGGGCCTGGGATCCTGCTGGAGCTGGATGATATTCCAAACCATTCCCACCCCAGCCATGCCGGGAATACCAACATTGGAACAAGGACAAACCTCATCCGTGTTTTCCTGTGGCTCCTCCAGGCTGGGATGGATCCAAACCCAACTTCCACCCTTGAGGTTCAACCAAAAGGAGCCCTGGAGGCACCTTGGGAGCACCGAGATGGCCACGGGATAACAGCCGGGATAACTGCTGGAATTCCCAGGATCAGATCCACAATCCCAGCACGGAGCCAGCGCAAGGACTGGGAGCAGAAAGATGCTCCAGATGTGCTCCCATTCCCAGGAATTCTCCCCCAGGATGGGCAGCTGGAAGTCTGAGCACCCAAAAATCCACGCCCAAAACACCGCGGGGTGGATGAATTCCCAGGAATGATTCCTGGAAAAGAGCAGAGCACTGGGAAGAGCCAAGGGCTGGAAGGAGCAGGGAGAACCTCTGGAGGCTCATCCCGATCCCAGGGAAAATCCAGGATCACCCAAAGCCTGGGATTATGGGAAGCTCCATGGATCCTTCCCTATGCTCCATCCTGAGGGAAAATCCTCCAGCTCCAGAGGGAGGAAGGCCCAAAACATGGATCAGAACCTTCAGGATGGAGCCAGCTCAGGAATGTTCCCAGCCCGGATCCCGGTGCTCTCAGCTTCCAGCTGGATTCAATCCCTGCTTTCCCTTTTCCAGCTTGGAGCAAATGTGGCAGTTCCCAGCTTTGCCCATTCCCACTCCTTTTCCTGAGCACATTCCCGGTGGGAAGGGATCCCCGGGATGCTCCGTGTCCGTGTCCAAGCGGGAGCAGATCCCGGGAAGTGTCAATCAAACCCAACTCAGCTCCCACCTCCCGCATTTTATCCTGATTTTTTTTTCCATTCTTTTCCTTTCGTCCTAAACCCCTTCCCTGAGATTTCCACACTCCGGGGTGAAGGGAATCACGTCCTGGATTCTCCCGGCGAGCCCAACCCCCCTCCGGAGCAGAATCCCGAGGGATTTTGAGGCAGGGATTAACAAACAAAAGCGCTCCGGACCTGCCCGGTGACATTCCAGAGGGAGGAATTCCTCAGGGAGATCGGGTTTCCCAAGCCCGCTCCTCCCCCAGACCAGGAGCTGCAACTTCCAAGGATAACTCCGTGTCCAAGGGCAGGGCTCCGTGTGGATTCGCTTTTCCTAAAGCTGGGAAATTGAGGATTATTTTTGTCCCATCCCTCTCCAAGCTTTTCCTTGGCTTTTTAGCTCCACTTTTCCCATCTCCGACGAGTTTTGTTGGAACAAGGAGCCGAATTCCAAGGTTCAGAGCTGCGGGATGGGAATTCCAGGCTCCAGCAGGTCCCTGATTCCCAAATCCAGCATTTTACCCCACGGGAATGAGGCGGAAAAGCCGAAATCCTCCCACACCCTTTTCCTGGGAAAGGTGGAGCAGCAGCTCCACTTCCTGGTCCACACAAAAATCCAAAGGATCCAAGTTTTTCACAGCTCCAGAGAGAATTCCCAGAGTTCAGATCAGGGATCAGAGCAGGAATTCCTGGGAGAAGAGCAGGGCTTGCAGGGCTGGGAGTTTGTAGGAAAATAAGGAAGGAAAAACAGGATGGGGAGGTTGGAGTGGAGTGGGAACAAAGCAGGAAGTGGCCAAAAAATGGGAGCACAGGCTAGGAAAAATGTTGGGAAAACCAGAGCCAAGGGGATCTTGTCCTTCCTGCAGCCACTGAAACAGAAAAGTCAGGAATTTCCATCCCTGGAAGTGTCCAAAGCCAGGCTGGGACAGTGGGAGTTGTCCCTGCCCTTGGAATGGGATCATCCTTTGGGTCCTTTCCCACCCAAACATTCCTGGTTTTTCCCTGTTCCAGCTTTCCTGGCAGCACTAGGATGCCAGGAACAGGCAGGTGTGGGATCTCCAGGGATTCCTGGAAAAACGAGCAGAGGGGAAAATGTGGAGAAGAGGTGGGAGAATCCCAGAATTCCAGAATGGATTGCTTGGAAGGGATTAAGGATGATCCCATTCCATGGGCAGGGACACTTCCATTATCCCAGGCTGCTCCAACCCAGCCTTGGACACTTCCAGGGATGGAATTTGATGGGATTTTCCCATATCCCAAGTGGCTGAGAGGGAATTCCCCAAATCCATCCATAACCAGAGGAAAAAGCAGGAAAAAAATCCTTGGATAACTCCATGCTCTGGCAGGGACCTCCAGCTCCTTCTCCCAGAGTTTTCCTTCTCCAGCCATTCCTGGGATTAGATGGAGCCTGTGGAGAATCCTCAGGATCCCAGGGATCCAGGAAGGATTCCAAGCCAATCCATCCTGGAATTCCACACCTGGATGGGCAGGGATGGTGTTGAAGCAACCAGGAGAGAAAATCCTGGAATTCTGCTCCACAAACCACAGGATTATTACCTGAACCACCACATCCCCTATCCCACAGAATTCCTTCTGCCTGGAAAATCCAGCTCAGCTCCTGGAAGTGCTTTGGAGGGGAGGGAGATTCCAGCCACCAGGATTCCCAAAATCCAGGTGAAATTCCAGCAGATTTTCCCCCTTTTCCCCAGCAATTCCCTTTTCCATATGGAGATCCTTGGGAAATCCAAATCCAAGGGGAAATGAAGGGATGGGCTCTTCCAGATCCAATTCCCATGGGAAAAGCAGACATTCCACAAGAAAAGCAGAAGGAAATCCAAAGTTGGGAATTCTCCAGGCAAAATTTGGAATTCAAACATTCCCAGTGAGCAGATTTTGCTCCAGAAGATGGGAAAGGTGGGAAAAACAGGGAAATCCATCAGGAAGTGAAGTTTTCCCCCAGAAAGGGGAGAATCCCAAAGAATTCCATGAATTTGAGGAGAAAGTTGGGATGGAATTTCCCCTCTCCACCTGCAATTTCCTTGGATTTTCCAGGAAATCATCCTGAGGCATGGAAAAGATTTTGTCTGGATCTGCCACTGGATGAAGGAAAATCCATGGAAAAACTCATTTCTTGGTGCTGCTGAAACACCAGGAATGAAACACTGGGAATGAAACACCAGGAATGGCACAGAGCCCTCAGATCCCTCCAGGCAATCCCAGCAGCCATTCCCAGGAGAAAATCATCCCAAACCAGGATTTTTTTGGGATTTGGAGGATGATTCCCAGGATAACATCAGCCCAAACCAGGAATTTTTGGGGATTTGGAGGATGAATTCCCAGGATAACATCAGTCCAAACCAGGAATTTTTTGGGATTTGGAGGATGAATTCCAGGAGAAAACCAGCCCAAACCAGGATTGGGTTTGGGATTTGGAGGATGATTCCCTGGAGAAAATCAGCCCAAACCAGGAATTTTTTGGAGGATGAATTCCCAGGATAACATCAGTCCAAACCAGGAATTTTTTGGGATTTGGAGGATGATTCCCTGAAGAAAATCAGCCCAAACCAGGAATTTTCTGGGATTTGGAGGGTGAATTCCTCATTCCAGCCAAGCCTGGATCCAGTGCTGGGAAAACGAACCCAGATTCCATCGGCTCCAGATCCGGTGGCAGCGCTGGAATCCGAGAGCTCCCGATCCATTCATTATTCAGGAGCTTCCCAAGCTCTGGTTTCACCCCCTGAGCCTTTCCTGGCACAAATTCCAAGCACAGAAATTTCCCTCTCCCAGGAAATTTTTTTCCTGGTTCATTTCTGCCACAGATGAGGATTTTTTAGGGATAAATCCATGGGAATAGGCCACATTCCACGCTTTCCACCAAAATTTGTGTTCCCAAAAAAAAAAGCCTTGCTGGGAATCAGCTGGATCTGCCCCAGCTCCCATTTTCCAGTGAAAACAGCCACAGGAATCCATGGAAAAAATGCCAATCCCTGCAGGAATGGTTGGGAATTCAAGGAAACTCCCAACATTCCTGCTGTCCCTGGAAACACTCTAGGTTTTCCCTCTTGATCCATGGAATTTTGCCTCCCAGATGAATCCACCCATCCCTCATCCCAAAGAATCTGCACCAAATTCCTATGGAAAATTCCTATTTAATCACAGAGGTCCAAAGGAGAATCCTCCTGGGAAAAGTGGGAATAAAGAGGGAATTACCTGTGCTTGACTGGCTCCTCTTCCTCATCTTGTCTGGGAATTTTGGATTCAGGTTCTCCACCCTCCTTGTTCTGCCAAAAAAAAAAAAAAGGGATAAAATGTCAGATTTTGGCTTCTCTGGAAAACCAGGAGAGCAAACAGCCCCAAAATCCTCTGGGATTGCAATATTCTTGGGATATTTTTGGGAATGAGTGATGAGAAACCACAAAAATCTGGGACTTCACACAGCAGGATTCCTTTTCTCCCTAGTTTATCATTTGGGATGGAAAACATGGAATCCCACAGGGACCAGCACAACAAAGGAATTCCAGCTCCAGGAAAATGTTGGAGCAAAATCCAGTTTCTCTGGAATAGGGAAAGAGGCTCCAAGGGCAGCACCAGATCCCAGGAAAAGCAGGAATTCCCTCTTCCATTCACTATCCAGGCAGGAACAGGGATGGAATGGTGCTCAGGAGGAGCTGGGAATGAGCAGCCATGGAATTCTGGAAGGAAATGAACTTCCCAACTTCCCAACAAAAGCAGGAGCAGCTCTGGATTTCCCAGGAATGGCAGCAGGGATGGACACAGCTCAGCTCCACTGATCCCAAGTTTTATTTCCATGGGAAATGATTGGAAATAAGGAGATTTTAGCTCTCTCCATTCCCAGAGCTGAATTCCCAATTTATCCTAAAGGGATCCTAAGGATGATCCCATTCCATGGACAGGGAATTCCCACTGTCCCAGGTTGCTCCAAGTTGGCCTTGGACACTTCCAGGGATGAGGCAGCCATGGAATTCCCTGGGAATCCCTTCCCAACATCTCCTCTGGCACTGGGATCCATTCCCTGGCTCCCATCCCTTATCCCAAGCCCCTCTCCCAACAGCAGCTCCAGGATCCTGACATGATCCAGGAGCTCTTCCAGGCCTGGGAGTGTTTCCCAAACTGCTGACTCATTCCCTGGATCCCTCTTCTTCCAAACTCTGTCCCACAATCCGGGTTAAAAATTACATTCCCAGCAAACAGGGAAGGGAGCCAGGGCTGGAATTGTTCAGGTTCAGCTCCTGCTCCGAGGGCAAGGAAAATATTCCCCTTTTTTTCAAAGGAAAACCAACAATAACCATCCCTAAAATCCCAATTTAATTCTGTTTTCATTCCCTGTTTTAAGCCCATTAAAACCTTGGGATACTCCCAGGAATTCCCTGCTCTATAAATTCAATAAAAACTGGGAAGAGCCCTCTGGAATTCCTGCTGCAGCTCCCAGCTGGGTAATGTTTAGCTACCCTTGAATCCATGGCATTCCAAGTCCCTTCCCACACTCCGAGTCCTTTCCCATTCCTTTCCTCTCCTCGTGCTCCAGAGCTGCATTCCCCCAACTCCTGCTGGAATTTTATCCAGAGGCTTCCAAGATAAGGAAATACTTGGCACAAACATTCCCAGGAGCCCTGGCTGTTCCCACTCCTGCCAATTCCTGCTTTTCCTGGGTGTTGGAATATTGGATATTCCAATCCTGCCATGATTTCGCCCAAAATTCCCAATTCTGGCTTCCTTCCCATTCAATACAAAGTATTTTAAAGGCTTGGGGATATCCCTGGAAAATCAAGGCAAAGGATTTCCAGGGAAGCCACGGGGAAAAGGGAGGAAAGGAAAGAGGGTGGGAAATAAAAAAGGGCGGGAAGGGAAAAAGGGGAGGGAAAAAAGAGAGGGAAAGAAAAATGGCGGGGAAAAAAATCATGAGGGGAAAAAAGGGCGGGAAGGGAAAAAAAGGGCGGGAAGGGAAAAAAAGGGCGGGAAGGCTCTGGATTCCCCAGGAATGGCAGCAGGGATGGGCACTGCAAACACTGCTCAGTTCCACTGATCCTGATTTTATTCCTAGGGAGCAGGGCACGGGTGGGAGGAAGGAGATCGTGGCGCTCCTGAATTCCCAGAGCTGAGTTCCCAACACTCCCTGAGCCCATGGGCACAAAAAGCTCAGCTGGGAAAGGATCCTGAGGATGATCCCATTCCATGGGCAGGAAATTCCCCGAGTGATCCAGCCTGGCCTTGGACACTGCCAGGGATCCAGCTGCTCTGGGAATTCCATCCCAGACAGGAATTCCCAGTTCCCAATATCCCATCCATCCCTGCCCTCTGGCAGTGGGAGCCATTCCCTGTGTCCTGTCCCTCCATCCTTGTCCCCAGTCCCTCTCCAGCTCTCCTGGAGCCCCTCCAGGCCCTGCCAGGGCTCTGAGCTCTCCCTGGACCTTTCCCTTTTCCAGGTGAACATTCCCAGTTTTCCCAGAGCAGAGGGGTTCCAGTCCTGGAGCAGCTCCATGGGATCCTCTGGATTGGCTCCAGCGGCTCCGAGCCCCTCCTGCCCTGAGGATCCCACCCCTGGATCTGTGGGATCCCACCAGAGCCATCCAACCCCCCTCTCATCTCCAACATTCCCGAGCTGGAATCGCTGGGAAGAGCCTCCAGGATGAAGCATTTCCTGTGCTCCAGCCCTTTCTGACTTCCCTAAAAAAGCCTGGACAGGAACGGATCCTTCGGAGCTCTCTGGGTGTTTTATCCTGGCTGGAAAAACTTCCCTGGGCTCCGTTTCCACAGCAACTCTTTTCCCAAGCCTTTGGCACTGGATCACGAGGAGCTTTGCTCCGGCAAAAAACAAATCCCAGCATGAAAAAAATCCGGGAAAAACAAGGAGAAAGAGAGAGAGCCAAAGTGTGGGATTGTCCAGGGCTCTGGGAAAACAGGGAAAGGGCGGAAAGGCAGGAAAAGCCTGTGGAAAGGAGCAGCACCGGCCCTTCCTCCCGCCGGGAAGGTGTGGAGGAGCAGGGATGTGGCTCTGGAGCAAATCCAGCCGGGAACAAAAGCTTGGGATGCAGCCAGAGGAATTCTTCCAACTCCAGGAACAACACAGGGAACGACCTGGAGCAGGGATGAGGGAAGGAGCAATGGGAGACCCTTCCTTCCCACAAAAATACGGCAAAGCTCCGGCTTTTCAGGGATTTGGGGATAAAAAAAAGCAGGAGAAGGAGCTGTGGACATCTTGGATCAGGAATTTTGGGACGGGAGAGGGAATCTGAGCCTGGAATTGCCACAGTGATCCCACCTGGATTTTGCTGAGGGATCCTTTGGGAATATCAGCAGCATCCCCACAGATCTTCAATGGAGAGGAACTCCCAGGGAATTTTCCTGGGAAATTCATGGAGAATTTGCCCAGGAATTCCCTCAGAGTGGAACTTTGAGCCATCAAATCCCAGAATTTCACAGCAAGAGAAAAAGGAAAAGGGGAAAATCTGGAAATCTGGGATGTGCCCAATGGGAAATGCCAAATATTGTTCCAGCAAGGAATTTTTTCCTTAAATTATGGGAAAACTCCCTCATCCCCTACTTTCCATGGGAAGAAAGGAAAAGTGGGAATCCTAAAATTCCCAGATTTTCACTTAAATTCTCTGGACAATCCTGGAATATATTCCCACAAAAAGCTTTCCCACAGCTCAGCCTCTGCAGGATTCCCTCAGGAATCCAAGCACTGCAGACAAAGGAGCAGCTTCCCATTTTTCCGTGGAATTTCCAAGCAGGAATCTCCTTATTCCATTGATTTATTCTCCTCTCCTGTCATTTTTTTCCACCTAAATATTTTTGGAGAATTTTCCTTGAGGAAATCTGATCTGGAAACTGCAGGAGCAGACAGAAGAAATTCCCTTTTTCCCTGTTTTTGGTGCCTTCAACCCCAAGAGAATCCCAAAAAACCTGGATTTTTCCACAGGCAGTACACAATCCAGGTTTCTCCATGAACATTCCCGATGTTTTCAGTGGGAATAAAACAAAATTCCATCCACAAGACATCGAAGTGACAGGAAAACTCCAGGAAAAGCAGAATTCCTCAACATTAGGGATGCAGAAAACAGGGAAATTTTGGATATTTCCAAGATATTTTCTTTCTTTCAGCTACTCCCTAATTTTCAGGAAGTCCTGGACTTCCAAGGATAGGCAGTACACAATCCAGGTTTCTCCATGAACATTCCCGATGTTTTCAGTGGGAATAACACAAAATTCCATCCACAAGACATCACTGGATTTTTCCACAGGCAGTACACAATCCAGGTTTCTCCATGAACATTCCCGGTGTTTTCAGTGGGAATAACCCAAAATTCCAATAACCCAATAACCCAAAATTCCATCCACAAGACATCGAAGTGACAGGAAAACTCCAGGAAAAGCAGAATTCCTTAACATGAGGGATGCAGAAAACAGGGAAAATTTGGATATTTCCAAGATATTTTCCTTCTTTCAGCAGCTCCCTAATTTTCAGGAAGTCTTGGACTTCCAAGGATTTTTTTTTCCAGTGAAAACCCATTGACCTTGAAACGTTTCCCAGAGATCTGAAGCTCAGGATCATTTGCATTCCCTGGATTTCTGGAATTAAGGCTGGAAAACAAAGGGATGATCTGTCAAAGGGAATGGAACCAAGTGGGAATAAAGGAAAAGGATAAAAGCCAAGAAAAGCCTTTCACAGCTCCCAAAAAAAGCAGGAAAAGCTTCCCAAGGACCTTGAACTGCTCCACAAAAACTACTGGAATTTTCACCAGCTCAGGATTGTCCTGAGGTGGCTCCTCCTGGAATATCCAGCAATTATTCCCTTCAAAACCTGGAATTCCTGCTGGGATCACAGCCTCAGGTTTGCTTCCCTATGGATTTCAGGCCTGGAATGTTCTGGATTCCCTGTCTATGGAACTGGGTGAGCTTTAAGGCTCCTTCCCAAAAGAAATCCGGGATTTTTCAAGCTTTAATAAAGCAGGAATTTCAACACAAATCCTTTCCACATCAGAATTCCCAAATTTCTCCCCAAGAGCTCTCCCAGAATATTCCAGCAGAAGAAAGTTTTCCTCTATATCCCAGCTCTTTTCCAGGAGCTTGGGGCCGTCCTCCATCCCTCTGGAATGACACTGGATCCTCCCAGTTGGAAAAATTTCTTTCCCATCATTTTTCTCTTTCCCAACTTTTTTTTTTTCCCCACCATTTTTCCTTTCCCACCCTTCTCTTCCCGCCTTCAGCTTTCCATCCTTGGAAAACCAGGAATTCTCCGTTAAAAACCAAAGAGCTGCTTGGAATTCCCTGCCCATGGAACGGGATGACCTTGAAGGTCCTTCCCACCACAGCATCCCATAAAAGAAGCAGGAGAAGCCACAGAGAATTCCCAAGAGGAATTCCGGCAGAGCACCCCCAGCCCTGTCCCCACAGCTCATCCCAAAGTGTCACTCCTCATTTCCACGGATCCCATCCCACATCTCCAGCAAAAAAGGGCAAATCCAGCTGGAATTGCAGGAGATGAAAGGAGCTTCGGGATCCCCGGGAGCCGTTAATCCTTTTTTAATGGAGAGGGATGAAAAGGGGGAATTAGGGAAAACCTCCGTGTGCATCGCCATGGAGATGGGAATGGCAGCGGGAAAATCCAATCCTGCTGATTTTCTGCCAGGAGGTTTTAGGAATTAACCCTCCCTGGCAGGAAACAGGGAGATCTTGTTCAAGGAAAAGAAGGAAAAACATGGAATGGGGTTTTTTCCATGATTTTGCATCCACTGGTGAGGGGAGAAGTTCTGGAATCCTGGAATTCTCGAGGTTGGGGATGGAGTCCAAGCATTCCCAGCACTGATCCCGGTCCCACACCCACAGGATCAGGAATTCCACCCTGCCCTGGAAGCATTTTTTTTCCCGCCTTCAGCTTTCCATCCTTGGAAAACCAGGAATTCTCCGTTAAAAACCAAAGAGCTGCTTGGAATTCCCTGCCCATGGAACGGGATGACCTTGAAGGTCCTTCCCACCACAGCATCCCATAAAAGAAGCAGGAGAAGCCACAGAGAATTCCCAAGAGGAATTCTGGCAGAGCACCCCCAGCCCTGTCCCCACAGCTCATCCCAAAGTGTCACTCCTCATTTCCACGGATCCCATCCCAAATCTCCAGCAAAAAAGGGCAAATCCAGCTGGAATTGCAGGAGATGAAAGGAGCTTCGGGATCCCCGGGAGCCGTTAATCCTTTTTTAATGGAGAGGGATGAAAAGGGGGAATTAGGGAAAACCTCCGTGTGCATCGCCATGGAGATGGGAATGGCAGCGGGAAAATCCAATCCTGCTGATTTTCTGCCAGGAGTTTTTAGGAATTAACCCTCCCTGGCAGGAAACAGGGAGATCCTGTTCAAGGAAAAGAAGGAAAATCATTGGAATGTTTTTTTTTTCCATGATTTTGTGACCACTGGTGAGGGGAAAAGTTCTGGAATCCTGGAATTCTCGAGGTTGGAAAAGCCTTGGAATGGAGTCCAAGCATTCCCAGCACTGATCCCGGTCCCACACCCACAGGATCAGGAATTCCACCCTGCCCTGGAAGCATTTTTTAGAATTTTTAGGATTTTTTTAGGGTTTTTTAGGATTTTTTAGGAATTAACCCTCCCTGGCAGGAAACAGGGAGATCCTGTTCAAGGAAAAGAAGGAAAATCATTGGAATGGGGTTTTTTCCATGATTTTGTGACCACTGGTGAGGGGAAAAGTTCTGGAATCCTGGAATTCTCGAGGTTGGAAAAGCCTTGGAATGGAGTCCAAGCATTCCCAGCACTGATCCCAGTCCCACACCCACGGGATCAGGAATTCCACCCTGCCCTGGGAGCAGCATCCCAAACATCCCAGAGGCTGCTCATGGAGGGGCTGAGGGCTGGGAAGTGCCAGATCCTCTGTCCCTGCACATCCCAAAAAACTCGGGATCTGCCTGGGATGTTCTGACACCCCCCAGCCCTTCTGGGATCCCAAAATCCTTAAATCCTGTCCCACCCAAAGAACCGAGGATCCCAAAAAACTCAGGATCCATGGGGGATGTTCTGATTCCCCTCCAACATTCCCAGCCCCATTCCAGACCCTCTGGGACCCCAAAATCCTCAAACTCTGTCCCATCCACAGCACTGAGGATCCCAAATATCCCAGGATCCCAAAAACTCAGGATCTACGTGGGAGTCTCTAGGACCCCAAAACTCTCAAACCTTGGGCCACCCAAAGCAATGAGGATTCCAAATATCCCAAAAATCCCAGGATCCTCAAACCCTGTCCCATTCAGAGCACTGAGGATCCCAAATATCCCAAAAATCTCAGGATCCACGTGGGATCCTCTGATTCTCCCTCAGCCCCTCTTGGACCCCAAAATCCTCAAATCCTGCCCCATCCAAATAACAGAGGATCCCAAAAAACTCAGGATCTTCGTGGGACTCTCTGGGACCCCAAAACCCTCAAATCCTGGCCCATTCAGAGCACTGAGGATCCCAAATAACTCAGGATCCATGTGGGATGTTCTGATTCCCTTCCAACAGTTCCAGCCCCATTCCAGACCCTCTGGGACCCCAAAATCCTCAAACTCTATCCCACCCAGAGCACTGAGGATCCCAAATATCCCAAAAATCTCAGGATCCACGTGGGATCCTCTGACTCTCCTCCAGCCCCTCTGGGACCCCAAAATCCTCAAATCCTGTCCCACCCAAAGCACTGAGGATCCCAAATATCCCCAAAATCTCAGGATCCTCAAACCCTGTCCCACCCAAAGCACTGAGGATCCCAAATATCCCCAAAATCTCAGGATTCCCGCGGGCCCCTCAGCCCGTCCCCGCACCCAGGCCTCTGCCCAGGCCCCACCGCGGGCCCCTCCGGGGGCTCCCCCGGCCCTCGCAGCGCCCAGCCCGGCCCGACCTGCAGCGTGCGCTGCCTCAGCGCCTTCAGCCGCTCCCGCCGCTTCAGCGCCTCCTCCTCCAGCCGCCCCAGCACCAAACCCTCGGCCTCCCCCGCGCCCTCCATGCCGCCGCCGGGCGCCGCCATCTTGTACCCCGCTCCCCTCTGCCGTACAGCGCGCGGCGCGCATGCGCGGCAGGCCGGGCGCGCCGAGCGCCGAGCGCATCGATGCGAGCAATAGATCGCGG